GAGGGATCTGGAGTGTCAGAAGCAATAGTGGAAAATCTCTAGCCTGGGAAGATAAAAGGTGTAAACTCTGTTCAAACCTTCTATTATTCACAGTGTTTCACCTATTTTCACCATTTTTTCTTATTAAGACTTCAAAGACTCTACATTTTGCTAATAACAGAGTGGAATAAGTTATGAAGCAGCTGTTGTCAGTAAATCTTTGCAACTTACATAAGAGTCTTCCTCCCTCCCACATCCCAAACTGGCACAATAAAATGTGAAAGAGGGAATCATGCAAATAATTATAGCAGCTAATACTAAAACTGCTGAATCTTAACAGTCATAAATTGTTATATAACCTTTATATACCTTGCAGGCTGACACTGATCTGGAACTGGTGGGTGAAGATCACTGTTGTAGAAACCTTGTTGGGTTTTATATGGGAAGGTGGGCCTGGAGTGGACTTTCCCCTTTAAATTAAATAACTCTTCATTAAAAAAAAAAGTTCCTATGTCTTCATGTAATTACAGCACATGAAGCATTTTAAGCTTCCTTGCTGGTTCACTATCTCTTTTAAAAGTTTTCTCTCAGTGACTATTCCAAAGATCTGGAGAAGTCAGAGTGAAGACCTTTCAAATCAATGGATCCTGAGTACAGCAGATAGGGCACTTGCCTTGCATGTGGCCAACCCAGGCTGGATTCCCAGGATCACATATGGTCCTCCAAGCTTCACCAATTCACCAAGAGTGATTTCTGAGTGCAGACCCTGGAGTAACTCCTGAGCATCACCAAATATGCGCCCTCTCAGAGACACACTCAGACACTCAGACACACACACACACACACACGGATCCAATTCACTCACTGATTCATGCATGAATGATTCATGACTTTATGGTTTTGGTCCTTCACTAAACAAAACAGATGATTCCTGCTCCTATGAAACATATTCTAACAATTAAAAACTATAAATCCTGTCCCTCTAAAAGCATCCCAGTTTATTATATGCTGTGAGTTTTGCTTTTTAAAATTTGCTTTTTAAAATAATTCCTCCCTTATAAATGGATAGACATGGAGAGCATCATGCTAAGTGAAATGAGTCAGAAATAGAGGGACAGACTTAGAAGGACTGAACTCATTTGTGGACTACAAAACAACATAACATGAGGCTGACTCCTAAGGAGAGTAGATACACGAAGATTGCTCCATAGCTGGAAGCCTGCCTCATGAGCAAAGGGGAGAAGGCAGCTAAAATAGAGAAGGGATCACTAAGAAAATGATGGCTTGAGGAACCAGTAGGAATGGGAGATGTGTGAAGAAAGTAGATAAAGGACCATACATGATAACCGATCAGTGTTTGTATTGCAAACCATAATGCCCAAAAGTAGAGAGAGATTATGGGGAATATTGTCTGCCATAAAGGCAGGGGGGGAGTGGGAAAGGGAGGTAGACGGGTATACCCAGGATATTGGTGGTGGGGAATGTGCACTGGTGGAGGAACGGGTGTTTGATCATTGTGTGATTGTAACCCAAACATGAAAGCTTGTAACTATCTCACGGTGATTCAATAAAATTTAAAATAAATAAATAAATAAAATTAAAAACAAATTAAAAATTCCTCTTAATAACTTCTAATTTAAGCCAATAGAAAGAGCCATCAAACAAGTTCAATCAACAAAAAAATGTATATACAACCACATTTTCCCACTGCTGTTTTATACCTCCTGAGAAAGAGAAACAAGAAAGCTAACAGGAATTTATTTTGTAAATTTCCCAGGCCACATAAGAGGGTTATTTTAGTCAAGTATTTGACAACTGTAATTTCTTATGCAAGATATATAGATGATAAAGATACAATGATTTCTTTTTTTAATTTTAACCAGTAGCATTAAGTAGAATGGTGGAATCCATGATACCTGAGTTTGGATTCTACTGGAACAGCATTATTCCACCTTTTTACACTTGTGAACCAGCACTTATCAGCATATAGGTCCACAGACCAGCATAACCAAGGCTTTAGACCAGAGGTTTTCAATCTTTCTACACCTGCAGGCTCGCAATGGCTGCAGACCATTGTTCTAGAAACCTTGTTGGGTTTTACAGGAAGGTGGGCCCGAAATGAACTTTCCACTTTTAAACAGAGAAAAGTTAAATGACTCTGCATTTAAAAAAAAAAAGTATTTCAATTTGAAGGAATGGAGCAACAAAGAAAGAAAAGGATGAGATGGGGACACAGAGCCAATGAGATTATACAAGCCTGGAGCTCCCTGTGATGGCAGCCAAAATGCATTTTAAGGATATAAATGCCTAATATGCAGCCTCAACTCTCCTGGCACTGCTAATAGCAAAAAACTCTCCTCCATGTCTCCAAATCAGCTTAAAGCTTACCCACCCAGAGGCTTGGTTTTAACTTCTTTCTTTTCCATTCTTCCCTAGCTCTTGTGGGACACAACTAAATCCAATAGGTTTGCCACAGATATCTCAACCATTCATTAGTACCTTGTTGGGTTGGTCCCAAACTAATTACCTTCCCTTCTCTACTCCTTTCATCAATTTTTTTAACTGCTCCCTCTCATATCTTCCAACCCTGTACTAGCTCATTAATGTCATCATCACTAAAGGAACAACCAATATTTATTGTGCACTTGTAATGTGCTAGGTACTCTGCCAAGAGCACTGCATGCGTAATTTCATTTGATCCTCAAACTCAACTAGGCAGGTACTATGATTGTTTCCTAAATGTTAGGAAACCAAAGCTCAGAAAGGATTAAAAAGTCTGAGGATAAGGGATGGAATTCAACTCTTATTCTGACTCCAAGGCTGGCATAGCCAGTCCATTCCAATGCCTCAAGTCAAAAAGGAAACATCTATTTCACTAATTATAACCAGTCTCTTACCCTATTGAACCAATTATACTTCGTAAATTTCATATCATCTTTACTTCGCCTGCCTTCACACAGAATAACAACGAACATCTTACTCAATCTTACTGTGAACCAAGCATGACTCTAATATTCATGTTTTTCCAGGTTTTACCCCAAAGCCTGAAAAACAAAGAACCCTGAGGAAGAAGGGGTTACACAGTGTTAGAATTAAAAGTCAAGTTCAGACAGTGTGAACAAAGAAATTCTGAGCACTTATTCCTGTAGTACACATACTCTGTCTCCCTATCTACCATCTGGATCCCCACCGTCATCCTCCAGATTGCAGTAGATATCTTTCTGGAATGCAAATGTTATCATGACATTACCCTGCTTAAAATTAGCAGCCTGTATTACTAACTGGATACAGTTCAAATTTCTTACTTTGGCAAGCAAGATCCTTCATGTTTCTCTCCAAGTCAGTTCAATAAACAGAGTGCCACTGCTGAAGCAAAGTACTAACCGATCTGAAATGAGTAAAGCACCACTCCATCTTATTTCTCCATGATACTGTGTCCAGCCAGAATATATGCATATCTAATGCAAAACCCTGTAGCTGATCAATTAGTTACCCCCCCCCCCACTACCTCACTGTACCTGACAACATCCCAGAATGCCTACGTGAAGCCTTCCCTAACAAACTGCAGGTAGAAATGCTCCTTCTTTTGAGTTCCCATAGCACTTTGTTCAAATTACCTTCCCACAAAGATGAGCTTCCAAAAGGGCCCATGAACAAATTTAGAGCCAAGAGGTGACCCTGTCATCAATGCAGGGTATGCAGTAGGCACTCTATGACTTGCTAAGTGACTAAATAGCAAAGAATGTCTAACCTGAAGAGAAAAAAGGAGACACAGAATTAATTAAGTGAACACTACTCTGAATCCAATTTGGCTTTTCCTTTATGCCTATGGAAAGACTCACACTGTGGGCCTTGGACAAGCAAAGCTTTACCAAAGCCTGGGTTCCTGGCTCACCAAAGCTTTCACAGAACCCAAAAGATACCACATCAAAGTTCACTTTCCAAAAGGGGGCCAGGATGAGAATCAGATCTATCAAAGTTCAGTCAAATCGATCAACTGAAAACAAGATCATCAGCAGTGCTGCGTCACAGTACAAGCCAGAGAAAAATCAAAATGTGTCCTGGGACGGGGGCCAATTTACAAATAAGCATTACTGCTGGAAGAATGCGAAATGCTTCAAGTGAAGCCAGTTCCAATGAACCCGACTTCTCAAGAGCTTCCGCCTCCCGCACTGCCAACTGCCTTTCCCTCCACTGGGAGTTTAAGAAAAAAAAAAAGGAGAGAGAGAAAAAGAAAAAAGAAAAAAAAAAAACCTCTCTTAACAGTTAAGCCATGCATGCGAGTTCCCCAGCTCCTGGCAGACAAACGATCGCCTCGATTCAAACCTCAAATTCACAAGCTGAATGACAAAGAAGAAACGCTTCTGAGTCGAAAAGTCGCTCGTCTAAATAAGAACCTGGCAAGGAGCTCTGAAGAAGCGAGCGATGGGGTGGCTTTACGTGCAACCGCTTCCAAATCAAGACCCCCCCACCCCCTCGGAGATGTCAAATTGTTGTCTCTCGTTCTCTCCAGCCGCCGCGGGAAGGTGGAAAAATCGTGGGCAACAGGCTGGGACGGATGCATGATCTCGCCCCCTGCCTTCCCAGGGGAACAAGGTCCGACGCGCGCCCTAAGTGCCGCTCTCTTTCGAACACACACGCCGGGAAGACTGCAACTCCTCGCCCCGTCTCCCCACCCCAGACGACGCAGAGATGGACTCCGCGGCGGCCGGATCCACCACACGGGCGGGCACAGCTCGGGCCGCCCGACTCCCGCAGGCGCCTGCCTGCCCCGCGGCGGGCGCACCGGGCGCGGGGCGGCCGCTCTGTCTCCCCTCCCGGGGCGAACCCGACCGACCCCACACGGGAGCCCACGGGCCCCCGCCCCAGCCCACGCAGCCCAGGCGAGCGGGCAGGAGAGCCCGAGAAGACCCGAGCGACGCCGCCCCACACCCCCCACCGACGGCCGCACCTGAGGCGGCTTCTGCGGACCCGGCGAGAGGGCGCGGAGCGGGGCGAGCCGGCGAGGCAAAGTTACTCACCGGGAAAAGCGCGGCTGCCCCGGGCGCGCTCCGCCGCTGGGCGCCGCACACCAGCGCCAGCCCGGTTCTCCGCGGCCCGCAAAGGGAGCGCGGAGCGAGCCGGCCTCCGCTCGGCGGGGAACCGCCGCCGCCGCCGCCGATTTCCTGGCAAGAAGCAAACTCCGGTCAAGACTTCACTTCTCAACCGCCCCTGCTGCCTTCCCGGGGGCGAGCGGCAGGGCCAAGTCGCCCAACCCGACAAGCTTCTGAGCCAATCGGAGGCGGCTCTGGGCGGGAAAGGGGCGGGCCACAGGGCGATTCCGCCTATCCGAGAACTCTGGGGGCGGACCGGGGCCGGGCAGTCACTCCGGGTTAGAGTGAGCCCACTGGCCCCCCAACCCAAACCTCACCGTGGCCTGCCCTCCCCCATCCGCTCACCCCGCTTCCCGGCGCTTCTCTGCTTTCCCCTCTCGGGAGATTTACGGGAGAAGTGTCGGCGCTCACCTCCTACCCCCCAGAAGGAGAGGGGAACGGGGGGAACGGGGCGCGGAAACTGTAGGAGGAAAGCGGGGTGGTGACCGGGGGGGGGTTGAGGGGGGGACGCTAAGGAGAACAGGTGGCGCGGGGAAGCAGAAATGCAGGTGTGTTGACCGGGAGGACAATTGGGATAGGTCAGGACGGATTATTCGCCTGGGGAGCGGGAGAGCCTGGAAGGGAGGTGGAGTTTATTAGTGAAGAACACACCTCAGGGGACAGGGAAAGGTAGAGGGACCTAGAGCCAGCCTGGATGCAGAAGGGCTGTCCCCAGGGGCACCTGGCAACAAAGGTGAGCTGTGGCCAGCTCTGCAGGTAAGGAGGTTTGAGAAGCCCAGAGTTAAAATAGCTAAGGAAGTCCTCAAGCGAGGAAGGATGTATTCTCGTGCTGGGATCCTCCGAGGAAAAACTGATGGGATGTAAGTTTCCTTGCAAAGTCTTAGCGCTCCCCCAAAGACACCAAGTGTCCTTAGGCCCAATCGAGAAGTGCAGCTGCAAGATGCCCGATGAAACAAATGCCATCTTACACCCCGCTCCCCTGTGCAATGATTAACTCGACTTTAAAGTCCCATGAAAGCCCCCCGCACTCCCCAGAGTTCGGGGTCAGACCCAGGAGTCAAAGAGCAAGTCAGAACGAGGCCCGACTGCGACCCTGACAGGAAAGGGGGCGACAGGTATGGCCCCGCCCCCTTGGCCGTCACCCAGGGCATGGTGCCTGTGGCTGGGTTTGCTAGCCCCACCGGTGGGCGCGGGCCAGGGAAAACACACAGCCCGCGCCCACCTCTGCACCGCTCTCCCCCACCCCCCCACCCCCCCACCCCCTCGCCCCGGCTAAAATGACGCTTTCAGGAATCTCTGAGTGAGTGGCTCCGGCCACGCGCGAGCGGGGGGCGGGGCTTGGGGGCGGGGCCTACCATAGCCCCGCCCTGCGGCTGGGCCCTGCCGCGCCGCTGCGGCTCCTCCTCCCTCCTTCCGTCCGCGACTCCTTCCGTCCGTCTTTCCTTCCTTCCTGCCTCCCTCGGACACGTTTTCCGCTATGGGGCCGAGCTTCGGGGCCTCCCGCTTCTTCTGAGGATCCCGGAAGCCGCCCCCGCGATGGAAGAGGACCAGGAGCTGGAGAGGTAACGGCCGGGAGGCTGGAGGGAAGCGTAGGAGGAGCGGCCGGGGCCTCGGCCTCCGCGGCCTGGCGGGACCGCGAGGGCCTGTTGGGGATCCCGGAAAAGGGGCGCAGAGCGGGGGGCGCCTACACGGGAAGTGGGGATGAACCTGGGCTGTAGAGGAGGAGACATGGATGTGTTTGAACAGAGGCGCTCTGTACGCGGGAGCTGAAGGAGGAAAAGCAAGTTGGGAGGCCAGAGTTAAGTTCCCACAGTGCCAGCCCGCAGTCACGACAGCCCGTTACTAAAGGCGCCGGGGCCGTGTGGTCTGGTCGGACGCGGACCGCTGCAAGTGCGGCCCACGTTACCCCCAGCGTGCGCTGAATTCTACATCCCACCTGACTGCCTCCCAAATCTTCCAGTAGTTTTCCTTCACTCTTTCCCATGGAAACCATAGTTGGGCCGGCACGTTGGTAATCCGTGGTCTATTTTTTAGATAGAATAATCTGTTTTTTTCCCCCTAGCCCGGCTTCACCCATTTCATATCCCTCTTTATGACTACCAAAGAAAATAATATATATGTGTATATATATATATATACATATGTTTCCTCCAGCATTCATTTTTGTGTCTTAAGGGACAACTATGTGGACGGTCAAAGTGGAGGAGAGAGAAGTTGGAGGCAGTAAATAAAGTAGTTGTTGATTGATGTGAAGCAGTGCCAGAAGGGGCTAGTGGTAATAGTTTTTCTGTAAAATGGAGCGCATTAGAATTAATAATGTGTTGCAACTGTGATATAGTAAATTTTTGAAAAGCGAGTTAAAAACCAGTATTCAGTGTGATCTCATTTTTACAAAAAATATGTGTGTAGAAAAATATCTGGATTGAAGACCTCAATGGCTGAAGGCGAGAGGAAGACAGCCCTGGAAATGGTCCAGGCAGCTGGAACAGATAGACACTGTGTGACATTTGTATTGCACGAGGAGGACCATACCCTAGGAAATTCACTGCGTTACATGATCATGAAGAACCCAGAAGTGGAGTTTTGTGGTTACACTACAACCCATCCTTCAGAAAGCAAAATTAATTTACGCATTCAGACTCGAGGGGCTCTTCCAGCTGTTGAACCATTTCAGAGAGGCCTGAATGATCTCTTGAATGTCTGCCAGCACGTGCTTGACAAGTTTGAGGCCAGCATAAAGGAATATAAGGATCAAAAAGCAAGCAGAAATGAATCCACATTCTAGTCATAGTGAGAGGACTCTGTGATGTTTTCTTCGGGATCTCACAAAACCCAGTAGAAGTTTGTGATTCATCATTATCCTCAGAGAGTGGTGTGCCTCTAGCCTTTGACCCATTGCAGCTGTTGGAATACCTGCAAGAACCTTTGTATTCTTCTAATAAATTCCCTCTTTCATTTAAACTAATTTGAGTGGTTTCTGCTCCTTGATCTGCAAGGTTGTCTGTTTTGCGGGCTCTGTTTCATTTCTTCTTTCATTTGAGCCAGCACTGAAATTGAGAAAGCTTTGAGAAAACCAGAGGCCTAGATTGGAATTTTGATCGAGGACATTAAAAGAAATACATATTAACCATTACTGTGATGTGGGGGAGGAAGAAAGGTAGTCAAGTGTGATCCCATGCAGACTGTGGTTGGTTTCAAATAAAATGGTGAGGGGTGGGAGGACTTGGCTTCTTACTAAATATTTTCAGTAGTTAATGAGAGAATTGCAACCTTTCCTATTAAATTGGGCAAGGATGAGGGGTACTTTGAAAACATTATGAGGATTCTGGTTTCACTTGAGAGTGTAAGGTGGGAACAGACTCTGTCTTTGTGGTAGCATTTATAGCATAGATACCAGTTTACTGCTTGGATTTCAGGACACTCATAAAATATTTACTCAGAAATGGCCTAATTAGGTCAAGAGACCTTGATTATATTATAGGACACAAATGGCCAGATAACATTTTTATTTTTCAGATTGGTATATAAATATAGCCCATGGTTACATAAAAGAAGCAGCAGTATTAGAAAATAAGAGCAGGGGGGGACGAAAGGAAGTGAATTTGGAGAAAAGAGTTTTCTGGGGAGAAACTCAGAAAGTACAAGTGAATTAGGCCCATAGAGATGATACCGTAGTTTAGGTGCATACTTTGCATGTGATGGTCCTTCAGCTTTGCTGACTGCATTTTTGTAACCCTATACCATTGCCAGGAAAGGCTCTGCGGTGCCCAGAGCATTGCTGGGGTGGCCCAGAAATCTACAACAGGAAGTGCCTGGACAGGTTGGCAGAGAATTGCTGGGAAGATCCTCCAGGCCTCCTGAGCACTGCTTAGGAGACTTCCTAAGACAAATATTAGTGAATCACATGTAAGAGCTAATCTGGAACCAGAGAGCAATGGTAATAATTTTATTTATTTTTTTAACTTGGTATTGGAAGAAAATAAGGTCAGAAGATTAGGAAATGTGAAAAGGAAATCTGCTTTATATACGCCAGTCAGCAAACAGCTGCCAGAGATGAAAGGACAAGAAGGAGCTAGCAGTGCAAGGAGAGAGCATAATATTCTGGGGGAATGCTAACATGTGCATAGATCCTGAAGGCAGAAATCAGTGGCTTGAGGAACTGAAAGAAGATCTGGGTTCCAGAGAGATAAAATGACAAGGGAGGGCTTGCCTTTCAGTTGGCAGACCAGGGTTTGATTCCCATGCACAGTGGTCCCCTAAGCACCACCAAGGAGTAGTGATCCCTAATCACAGAGCAGCTGTAAGCCCTGAGTATAGGTGGATGAGGCCCAAAACCAAATAATAAAAGATCTGCATTTCTGTAATATGGTAAGCAAGAAGGAGAAGACGCTAATCTATTGAGAAGAAGTGCTGGGAAATAGGATTTGAACTTTTTCTTTTGTTTTGGGACTACACCTGATTTATTGCAAGTAAGCAACTTAACCTCTGTACTCTCCAGCCAGAGGGACTTGGATTTTAAGTATAATGGGCATGATGTTAGAATACTTTGGATTACAGTAAAAGGAAATGAATTTTAGAGAGAACTGAGTAGAAGCGTAGAAGTACTTCATCTGTAAGTACCCTGGAAAGCAGTAAACTAGTAATGGAGAAAAAATATATTTGAGATTCTTTGTTTACAGCTGAGTTGATACAAAATTGGTTGACCTCAGAATTGAATGTGAAGTGTGAGGAATTGCATGTGAAGTATGAGGAAACATGACTCCAACAGGACTTGGGTCCAAATTACTGCATGGGAAGAAACTTAGGATGCATAGTTGGGGAGGCAGAGAAGGTCCCACTTTGAAGAGTTGGAGAGTGAGCTCTTGCCATAAAGATGATACAGATTTTTAAAAAGGAAGAATTGACACCAAACCCTGGGCTAGCAACATGTTTATACGTTATAAAAAAGAAGGTCCTCTTAAGCACATCAGGGTGTGACTGAGATCTCTTCTCTGTAGTTCCCCCTACTCCCTACAAAGAAAAATAAAAAAAAAAAAAACAGGAAGTAGTCAAAATCAGACTTTGAAGAGGGGCAGAAGGATTTTTAATGAGTCATGGGGTAAGAAAGTGTGGAGTGACGTTAAATGGGAGATTCACTGTTAATGATACCCGTATATAATGTCTGTCACTGTCACTTCCTCCCATTGTGCATCGATTTGCTTGAGCAAGCCCAGTAACGTCTCCATTTTGAGACCGGTTGTTATTGTGTTTGGCATATTGAATACTTCACGGTAGCTTGCCAGGCTTTGCCCTGCAGGCGAGATACTCTCAGTAGCTTGCTGGGACGGAGGAATCGAACCAGACTCGGCCAGGCTGGCTGCGTGCTAGGCAAACGCCCTACTGCCGCCCTATTGTTCCAACCCATATGATGTCTAATAAGAGTAAATGTAGCACACTGTTTTGAAGAATGACTTAAGTTTTCCAATACAAAAAATAAACTGTAGGAGATTGAGGAGCTAAATTTAAGCAACAGAGATGAAGAATCATGGCGCAAGGATAAGTAGTAATTTCCCAGGATGATAGAGATTCTAGAAAGAATGTTTATGTAAGGAAACCCTGGAGGAATATATGGGAAAGCATCAGAAACTTCTTGCCTCTTTCCAAAATTTTGCCTGTGAGTAGACCTATGGGCAAAAGACAGCTTTTAGACAGATTAATACCTTTAGGACCAAGACCTATGAAAAGATGAAAGCGAGTTTAGTTAGTAGACATAGAGGTGTTGAATGATACAGTAAACCAAAGTAATTAATACCAGTACATGTGGGAAAAGCACCCACTCACTTGTGACTACCCACAGCATCTCATGACTTCACTGCTCTTTAAAGAATTGTCACAGTTCATGTAGCATATTTTCCTGAGTGTGTGGAGGAAGGCCATAAGCTCATAGGATCATCCAAAATTCCAGAAGGAGGGTGATTGAAAGGAAAAAAACTGAGGGCAGGGCAAGCGAGTAACCAAAAGTCACATCCATGTAGGATATTTCTTTACATGAAGTCTGTAGAAACCTGAAGGAAGGCAAGATGGTCTATCAAAGGGTAAGAAGAATATATATGAATCATGGCTTTATTTTTATAAGCAAAAAATAACTTGATCAATATCTCTAATTTGCTCTCTAAATAGCATTCACTCTAAACATTAATGTTTCAAGATCAGAAATGCAGTTTAGTTGTAAAAATTATGCCTTTTAAAGAGCCAGTTATTAAATAAAGTAATTATATACCAAAGCTTTTAATATATAATAATTTGAGTACTCGCCTAGAACTTTCCATTTTCAAAGCACTTTACAAACTATTTATAAATTGCATATAGCTGTAACATCTAAGTGCTCTAATTAGTTGCTATAATACTGATGCCCTACAAAATCTATAGAAATAAAAGGTCTGTTCTGACCCAAAGTATCACATTTCAGGAAATAGGAAGGCATATGAAGTTCATTGGCCCACCATTTCCCTCCTTTCTCTCCTACCTCTGTAAAATGTTATTAATATATATTGTGTCTCTAAATCATAAATAAAAGTCATCT